AACTCCCGAGCGCCGAGTAGATCACGTAGCCCAGGTCATCGGACACCTGTCGAAGGAGACTGTTATTAGTGGCTGGGTTAATGGTAGAGGCGGTTGGTGTGTTTTTTATGGGTTGTGATGTAGGTACGCTAATTTTCCTGTAGTATATAATCATTGTTATTATTTCTCTCTCCCATGATCCTTCCACTTCTTTACATGCACCCTTCCTATTCCATCTCTCTTACTGTTTATCTCTGTCTCTCTCTTTCTGCCTTCCCTCTTTTTTTCTCTCTCAAAACTTTCCCTCCTCTCTCTTTCTCTCTCTCTGATTCCCTTTATCTCTTTAACCAACTCCGGGCCGCCAATCCTATGCCTATTGTCTTTAAGGCCCAATATATAAGAGTTTCTTTTCGAGGAAAGTTTTCGGGCCAAATCAGAGTCAATAAAGCGTCCTTGTCGTATCCCACAAGATCAATCTATTTGTCGATAACTTTTCTCTTTCTTGTCTTAGAGAGAAAATGGGTTCTGTATCTCCCCAACAACCGGATCTCTCTCCTTTGATATGGTCTGCCTCATAAAGGACGCCAAGATTAAGGATAGTGGGCTTGGTTGTATCGATATTAGTATTGATCTACGACTGTATTATGACTTGGAAGGAGAAGATAAGTATGGTAACCATTTCCCACGTTATATTATAGTGAAATAAGGAATCTCATTAGTGAGCAAATATGTGAATGGTTAAAGATAAAAAGTTGATAGCTATGTAAATCCTTAAGTAGGCATATGTCTAGAAAGATTATATATAAACATGAACGAGTAAAATGACAAAAGAAAAGAAAAGGGCAGACTAACTATGTGGTTTAGCTTCAGTCCAAGCCCTCGTTGTTTTAAAACTATTAAAAGAACCGAGATGTTTACCGAGCTTAATGATCTTTTAGTAAAACAAAAGACTCGCATCATGAGTACAAGAGCAAAATCGGAAAATATGAAACCGCACGGCCACGGAAGGTGAAGATTCCCATCGTCATCTCTTAAGCCTTACGACCTCAGGGAGGGCTGGTAGATACTCCGCTTAAATCCTAAAACTTCGGTCCTTTTATCTTCTTGGATTTTTCTACTTGATCGAAAAAAATCAAGCTTTGAGACAGAGATAAAAGGATGTTACTTTCATTTTTAAACATAATTTTCTCGCCCATTTAATTATCTTAAAAAGAGCTTCGGGATACACCAGCACGGCTTCACACTAGATCCGGATGTCGAAACAGGCCTCGAAATGGCTTAACTCCGAATTAACTAGACTTTTGACCGCGACCGTGATCGATGAGACCGGTCGTTGCTCTGGCGTCAGCTGACACAAGCAGCAACGTTTCTCGATTTTTTTCTGCTTATGTATATCCATTTACCTGTTGTTATTTCAGTAACTGTGAAACAGAATAAAATGACAAAACAACAACAAAGAAATTGAATAACCATAGAGTAGCAATAACAATTACAATGAGAGAAGAATAACGAAAACATATTAGCAAGAAAAAATGTTGGCAATGATGACAACAAATGGCATATACGACAAAAATAAAACAACAATTGCGAACACAAACAGCAGAACAAAAGGAAAACGAACAAGTGAGAAGAATAAATATTATTATTACAAACTTTTATCAGACTAGGTAGACAGAAACAAGAGACAGAAAAAAATCTTAATAATTCTAACCTTATATGTTTCCCATGTGGATCCTCATTTACATTAATTTGCATATATATCTCTATTTCATTTATTCATCCGCTTTGCTCATTCATTTGTTTATTCATTGCTGTTGTTATATTTTTTTTACAGTGTAGACATAAGACAAAATGATTTTTTGGATACTCCCTTCGTTTTTCCTGCTGGAATGAATAACGAGTGGAATAAAAGCGTGTATAATGGATATAGCAAGAGACTGACACGCAGGAAGAAGAATGCAATACAGGGTAGAAGAGGCTATGAGAATGAAGCGGCAACTGAGGTAAGAGAGAGAAAGACAGTGTGAGGGTTTATTGAGAGAGAGAGAGAGAGAGAGAGAGAGAGAGAGAGAGAGAGAGAGAGAGAGAGAGAGAGAGAGAGAGAGAGAGGAGAGAGAGAGAGAGAGAGAGAGAGAGAGAGAGAGAGAGAGAGAGAGAGAGAGAGAGAGAGGAGAGGAGAGAGAGAGAGAGAGAGAGAGAGAGAGAGAGAGAGAGAGAGAGAGAGAGAGAGAGAGAGAGAGAGAGAGAGAGAGAGAGAGAGAGAAGAGAGAGAGAGAGAGAGAGACAGAAGACAGACAGACAGACAGACAGAAAGTGAGGGATAGAGGGAGAGACCAAGACGAGTGAAATAAGGGACACTATAACGCAAAGACAAAACTCTCCCCAAAGCCTCTGATATTCATGGCTCATGGTTCATTCATGGGTAAACAAACAAGCAAGCGGATGTAAAAAGAGGGAGAAAAAATGGCGGGTTTCTTATTTATATTTAATGAATTTTAAAACGGCTACTTTGCCTAATTTT